AGAGGTTAAACCCCCCAAACATACCAGCGATACAAAGATGCGAGAAACAACTACACGGCAGCGAGGAGAGAGGCAGAAAGAAATTGAGAAAGGGATAGCGGAGAAATGCAAAACAGAACCAGGCCTATTCTGTAAATTCATAAACAACTGCAGGTAAAGGATAATATTCAGAGGTTGAAAATGTGAAACAGATTCGCAGAAAATGAAAAAAATGTGTGAAACATTAAACAAAAAGTCCCGAAGCGTGTTTATACAAAATGAAATCTTCAGGAAACCAGACAATAAGAATCAGAACAGAGCACAGGGGTGTTGAGAGATGAAGTGGAAAAAATGCTCAAGGAGCTTAGTAAGAACAAAGCAGTTGGCCCAGATGGAGTTTCACCATGGGTTCCGAGAGAATGTGCACCCGAGCTCAGCATTCCACTTCAACTGATTTTCCAGGCATCCCTGTGTACAGGAGTTGTAGCAGATGTGTGGAAAAAGGCTAACAGTTCCAATTTACAAAAGTGGCAACAGGGAAGACCTCCTCAAAGACCAGTATAGTATCACAAGTGTAATAGTCAAAATATTTGAAAAAATAATTAAAACTAAATGGGTAGAACACCTGGAGAAAAATTATGTATCAGACAGTATGGTTTTCGATTTGGAAGATCCTGTAACGAATTTACTCAAACTGAGCCACAGATTTTATAGGAAAAAAATGGTTGGGTTGACTGCATCTATCTGGACCTAAAAAAGGCTCGACAGTTCTACACAAGAGGTTGGTCTGGAAACAAACATATTGAAGAGGTGACAGGTAAGCTAAGATCAGGAAGAGAAACATCAGGGGGGGGGGGGGGGGGGGAGAGAGGGTAATTAATGGAACAGACCGTATACCATTTACTCAAAGATACAGGCTACAGAACATTGGATAGGCGACAAAAAGTAGGGGGACGAAGGGAATTTCAGTACAAATCAAGAGCAGCTGTTATGGGCCCCAGCAAATGCCACTTGGGGGGGGGGGGGAGTTTATAACCACAAGTGGCTAGGATGAGCACCAAGAGAAAGCATTGAATTGTGTAATCCTAAGTTGGCATAAAATCCATGAATATTCCATTGAATGAGACAGTCAAAAAGAGCACAACAATAGAGAACAATGAAGAAATAAAGGTAAAGAATACAGCATTGTATTGCACTGCACACCCATTTTCGGCAAAAAATCTACAATTGTCAAGGACATATTTGTTTTTATAAATGTTCAGGTAAAGTTAATGTTAAAATGTTTCCAAAGTCAACTATTTCCATTTCAAAAAGTAATGAAAACGTTAATATAGCCCAATTAAAAAACAAACCGAGCGCCTAAAGGCGCTTTGCGCAGTGGTTAAAGAAGTTCAGGATCCGTGAAATCAGGGTTAGGGGGCACGGGTAAACTTAGCAAAGACAAGAGAGTTTAGGGAGCAGGACAGACCAGAGGTGGACAGACTGGGTCCAGAGTAGGAAGAGAACGGAGGGGCAGTCAAGGACAGCAGGGGTAGGTGGGGCAGAAACAGGGAATTGGAAGAGTCTGGAGAGAATCGGGGAAGAGTGCAAAGGAGCCTCCATAGCTGCAACCACCGAAATAGGAGGGGGGAAAACAGTGAGAGGTGGGGAGGAAGAAAGCAATGCCTTCTTACCCACTTGAGAGGAGGTAGAGTAGCCAGGCTTACGTTTATGACTCACAGGTGTGCCAGCAATCGAGTCTCGCACTGGGCGAGACTCAATTGTCTTAACAGAAGAGCAATGCGAGTGAACATGATGACTGCTGGGAGGCTGGACAACAGCCTGGACACAGGCAGCATGGAGGGTTAAGGGACATGGGGGGGAGGGCTGGGAAGTAATGGGGGAAGATACAGAAGATGTGGAAGACTAGGAAGGGAGGAAAACCACCAGAGGGAGAACCAGGAGGAACCTCATGGTTCCGAATTTAAAGGAGCAGACGAGGTGGTGGTGGGCATATCCAGGCCCAAGGCCTGGAAACTTATGCGACTGAGAAAGGAGGGAAGGACAAAGTTTATGTAGAACACTGAACACTAGCATAGGGATACATTGGCAAATGTCATGGTGGATGTGGTGCCTTTCCTCAGGAAAAGACTATTGCAGTGCTTCAAATTGAGGCTGGCTTCCTCAAATTTGTAGTCTTGTACACTTGCAGGAGAAGGTAGAGTGGGAGTCAATTCAATTAAGGCATTAAGCTTGGTGATAAAGAGCACCCTTAGTGACCAAGTCCTCACACATGGGGCATAGACACCACACTTGTGCATTTGAGGGTACCATGCCCAAATTTCCAGCACTTTTTGTAAAGCCTAGGAGAGGGAGAGCATCTGGCAAGAATTATGGAAGGCAGAAGAGACCTGCCATCAAGCGATTTTCAAGACTTGAAGCAGCTGACGACGACTACCTTAAGGGGGGTGGGGGCAGGTTAACGTTATCAACCTGGAGGATAAAATGGCCTTGGGCTTCAAGGATATGTTTAATATCCTTGTGGCAGCCTTTCAGGCCCAAACAGTCGCAACATGGTGCAACAAGACTGCCAATATTGGCATTTAACTGGGCATTTTTTGGAGAGCCTAACAGGGGTCTCTTCAGTGCTGGAGAAGGCTAAGCAGGCAGCCGCTTCCTGATAAGGAAGCAATTATCAATAGAAGGCACCAAACCGGGAAGGCTATGTAGCACCATCAAAGTGCGGGATAATCAGAGGGCACTAAATATCACCAAGGATGCCAATACGAGAACAAAAACGCACAAGGCGAACGATATCAAAAGTATCAGAGTTGCCAAGAATTCTATCAAGGGACAAGCGACCGCGGGGGACAGTCGGAAAACAAGACACGCTCTTCCTGGAAGTCAGGACATTCAAGAAGGATATGCACGACCGTAAGAGGGACAATGCAATTCAGACATGGAGCAGGGCGGCGCTCCATCAAGTGACCGTGAGTTAAACGGGTATGACCAATACGTAACCTAGCCAGAGCTGTTTCCCACCACCGGTTACAGTGGCAGGAGTATCCTGATAAGGAAGCGGCAACCAAATCTGGTGGGGGTTAAAAGAAATGGATGCATCCACCGAATCAACAAGGTTTTTATGGGAGGAAGAAATAGGAAGAGTAGAATCCATATGGGCAAAGTTAAAGTATTTAGTCCAGGTAGCAGGACCAAACGGTGTTGAATGTACAGTATTAGCACTGGAAAGGATTATGTGAAAGCGCCTGTGGGGGGGGGGGGGGGTCTGCGCCGAGCACACCGAATGAGAGGGATGGGGGATTGAAAAGGTGCAGTTGTCACAGAAGTAACCACTCCAGGTGATGAAAAGGGGCGGGGGTCACCACTGGGGGGCTTGGGGCTCAACCCTACCAGAGGAGGTAGTCAGGAGAGTCAAAGGAGTAGCATTATCTGGGCCCAAATGAACTGGGGGGGGGGGGGGGGGGAAGAGAGGAGGGCTACAGAGCCTGGCCTTCCAGTACAGTCCAACTCGGGGATGGGTCGCACACCCCAGGAGCAAAAGGTTATAAGAGCATCATTCAGCAGCCTAGAAACTGGCAATTTCATTCACAAACAAGCCCCCATACCCACCATGGAGCCACAATTAGAGGATAGGACACCCAACGAAAGGCTGGGAATCCCCGCCCCCCAGGGGTGCATTGCGAGTACACCCCACAAGCACCACCTTAAGGGGGTGTCAGATTGTCAGAATCAAAGTTGTTCAATGTCAACCAATATTATTTGACTAGTTTTATTTGAAAAGTGCTTTAATTGTCCCAAGTTTCAGTACTGCTGCATAAATAGAAAGGGAGATTTTGTTTTTTTCAACGTTTTTTTACACATTTTCAAGTCCACACTTCAGAACACACGGTTCAGTTATAATTATTCTGTGACATTAGCATATAATAAAGGACCTTGAGATATAGAATTTCCAAAACATCTTTAGTTTTCCTAATACAAATGTTCAAAGTTCCCAAATTTTTTTTTGCAAATATGGCATGTTTATTGCTATTATAAACTCAATAAATGAACTTAGAGAAAAATGAAAACTCAAATGTAGCGACATGCCCTCCACATATACTGTGCAAGTTTCATGTAAATTGAATAAAAAATTAATCAGTTTTGTAAACGTTTGTGTCAATTGAAAAAAAAAAAAATGAACGAAGTCTAAGGTTCTAAAATCTGTGGCCGAGGTTGACATCAACCAATTTTCTCCAAAATTGGCGTCCTTACAGATAGGCTTATGTACAGTCAGGCGTGTAAGTTTGATGCAAATCGCCCGAAAAAAAAAATTCTTAAAAATTTTTCAATTAAACTAATAATATTTGTTTAATATATACTATTGTGATAGCAAAGAGTCATAGCTATGATTTCAGTCGACACTATTGGTAATCAATTTTGACCATTTTGGCATAATTTTCACAACTACAATATTTTTTTTCTCCCTTCCTATTTATGCTACGATGCTGAAACTTTGACCAGATGAAACATTTTTCATATAGAACTTTTCAAAAAAGTTAGATTGAAATCTAACGAGTTTTCATTTGTTGCATTTTTAGGGCAAATTGGAATCTGACTCCCCCTTAAGAACCGCCAGTCCGTCGAGATCCGGTTCAGCAACGAAAGGTTCGACAAAAAGAGCCATCTCGCAACATTGGGAACCAGTTCTACAGGAGTCAAAACATAAGATGACCGAAAGAATAACCAAAGACTTAAAAGATTAGTGGGAAAGACAAAGAAGGAAAGGGGGGTGAACAAAACATAGGGAAGAGTAAACTAACTAGCACAATTAGTGAAGCCGGAGCACAAGACCACAATAGGACATTACTGTCCCATGGAGCATAACACCCTGGCAGCCATCTGCCAAGCTGCCCCCTCAACGATAACAGGCTGGAAAGTGGGTACTTACTGGATGACCAACTATTAATCTTCCATATTTAACAAATAATGTAAAATATCAGGCAAGCAGACTGCATTCTTGGGGGATTTATTGAAACAAGGTAAACTTAATCTGTCTTTAAGTGGAAAAAAATTTACAAACTTCACATGGTAAAATACTTGCATCCATAACAATCAAATTCCCTGGGCAGCAGTATACTTTCAAGTACATTAACAAGTGTTGCAAGCTTCAGAACTAATTCTAGATTAATTTGTACACAAATTCACTGCCCTAAGGTTCCTCAATTTAAATAAACCATGGTAGTTTTAGCCAATAAGTTAGTTACATTTCAGAACTACTGTAATGGGATTAAAAGAACACCACTGAAGTGTAGTTTGTGGACTAGATCAGGTGTGCCATCAAACTGTTCCTTTAGGCCCGACTAATTTTATATCCACGGAATGTTTAGACTACCATTTAACTGCAGAAATTTACAGCCCAGTATACATCAACCATGCTACTATTGGATGTTATTAAAAACTCATTTGTTTACTTTCTGCATGTTCAAGTCTGGTCAAGCAAGCAAGGATGAATGTTTAGACCTTTAACATTGTTTTACATTTTATCAAATCAACAGTACTCTATAGTGTCAAATTTAAGCCCTGCAAATACCCAGCACTGGCAAATATAATTCTAGACCAGCCATTATGTTCCAATAATTCAAACCAGCAATAAAGATCTGGTCAAAGACTAGCACAAGCATATTTACAAGAACTATCCATTCCACCATTAATTTATCAATGTTCACTTTGGTACAGTACATATATAAAACAAGTTCCTGTTTACTCAACATCACCATTCACAAATGTTTTCAAAAAGATAAAATGTACAAGCTAAAAATGGCTGATTATATGAATTTGAAATTATTACTATGGAAATCAGATCTAAGCCTATTTAGAAGTATATTTCAACAATCGTGGCTTAAACGGAATGACACCAATATATATATAAAAATATCACTCAGGGGAGGGTTGGGGGGCCATTTGGGATATACCTAAAACAACTTTTAAGTATTTACATCAAATCATTCTGCTTCTAAAGTCGCTTTAATATGTTCCGTATTCTCTACCACAACCTGTGCTTTTGTCCAAAGATTAGACATTTTATATGCCTAGAGAAAAAAAAAAGGCAATTACAGTATTTACCGAATTCTTTCATAGCCATCAAGCTACTTCACTGACAATTATCCCCAATGTCACATTAACTATCACAGGAAGGTCATCCATAATGTATTTAACATCTATGGCCAAATTAGTCACTACTCGATTCAGAACCACCTTCGTTTGCCTAGACTGACTGATAGGCCCCAGAGCGACGACGACGACCAACCAAGTATGCAATTAATACAATGACAACAAGGCCAGCAAGAGCACATCCAACAGCAATCGGAACAATGTCTGAAGTTTTGTCAGCAGCACAGTGAACAGCTGAAAAGTTACAAACATTGTATTATAAGAACCAAGATTTATTAACTTAAAATCACAAAGCTGTAATTAAGTTTGTGTGATCATAAGTATGTTATAGTTTAAGCAGTAATTGTAGGATGACAGGAAGCCCAACCTGTGGCCAGGATATAGAACAAAAGGCACAAATTTATACTAGAAGAAATTTAAACTAATGGAAGGTACCTGTACTAATTTTTTTCCAACAAGACTAGATTACTTCAGGACCATCAGTAGTCTAAATATTGTACCATGTACTCTGGCACTAGAGTTCACAGCAATAGTAATGTAGTTTAAATTTTGAGGATTGGTAACCAATTTAGGCTCACTTTCTGAATGTTAATGAAAATTACCAATTTAAATAACCAGTAAACATATCTTTACTATGCACATAAAGTTGCCACACTGCTTTTTCAACTAAAAACAAAATGAAGGTTTGATGAAGTGGGTTTTCAAGAGATTGTATAATACTTACAAGCAACGAAGTCTGGCTCATTTTGAATTTCGTTGAAAGCTTCAATATGGATTTGACTGAATGATGAGGACAATGGCAAGTCGTATTCTTCTTTCTCCACAGTACCAGTTACATTTGAGGTAGAGATTGTAGAGTGACAGTTTAAGCTGAAGTTAACTGCTACATCGAAGGGATTTAGACTAGAGTAGATCACCAAATCCATCATCTTTCCTACAATAAAGACTTGCATTTAGATACAATTTAGGGAATACAAGCCGTTTTAATGATTTACTTCAAGTAAATACTTAACCATTTAAAAATTTTACAAATTAGTAAAGTTTAAATAGTTTCCTAAACGTGAACATTAAGTTTAACACCTCAATACCTACCAAATATGCCAAACAAATCTTCCAAAACTAAGAGCAAGATCTAGTATTAAAGCATATCAGTTAAGTTTTTTTTTTTTTGCCACATTTTATGCAGTCATTTAATTTTGCTTTGGTTCTAGACATTAATCCATTTTAAAAAGTCAGTTTCAAATACATTTTCTAGATAGTAATAGGAAGTGGAAAATGTAAACAAACATTCACAATGTTTAGAGCAAATGTGCAACAAGCTTTTTAAAGTGCTTTTCAGCATGTATACAATTCATTAAATTTGTTACATTAATATTCTTTCAAAGTCACAGCAAAACAATTCAGTTATACATTTAATCTCTTCTACTTGCCAGCAATTGCAGAGTCAGAGAAGGTCTTGTTGTTCAAGTAAAGAGAAGCCGTGAAAGAAGAAATTGACCAATTATCATTTGACTTGCTGAAGGTAAAGGTAGTGCTAGAAGTCTCTTCTTCAGTCCAGGAGATAGTGATTGACTGGGTGCCATCAGCTCCGTTGCAAGTACCACTTGCTTTACCACCATGTTCAGGAACCTTCACTTTTGCCACTTTAGTTTCCTGTGAAGATGTCAAGATGCCAATACAAGTTATTAATTGTACAAATAGCTGCAAATTCAGCATACAGGCTTTTAAATGCAATGTACCCAAAAGGAGCATTAATCAAATTACATACTGTAATATAGTTTCAAACCTGGTAATGTATGAATTACTTTTGTATAGCCAAGATTCGGATATTTCTAACAAACGTGCCCTAACAAGTTTACCCTTTCATGTATCTTTCAGTTTTTTTCTTTCCTTCGTTTTCTCTTACGATCCCTTATTCCAATTACTATCCCCTTATTGGGCGATTATAAATAGGAGCCGCCTCATATGGGCTATAGGCTTTCTGCAGTTACCCTTGTTCTTTTTACCTATTACTATAGGTTTCATTTTACCTTTTTGTACCTTTTGCCTTTCTTTTCCTCTTAAGATTTTCTTCTCACCTCTCTTATGTATTGCCTTTAACTCTTTCCCTCATCACAATCTACTCTAGAATCGTCCAGGACAGACCGAAACATCGTCATCCCTTCACTTTCTAGTGTGGGGTTTTATCAACATTTCAGCCATGTTATCGTGACTATCATTTGGATATTTGGTTTCATTACCAGTATATTTTGAGATGCGCAATAGAGAAAAATGGACCTCTTGGCAACAAAGTGCTTGTAATATTCTATTTCAGAAGATTCTAGTTACACTATTACCAATATTTTAAATATTACAGTCTTATCTCCCATTTCAAATTGGTGCCTAAACTTAGTTGGAACAGCTTAAATTTGGGTGCGATGCGGGTGGCACACCGAGTCATTTTACCCAAAAGGATCTGGATACAAGGTCAAATGGCCCAGTGCACAACCCTGCAGCACAAAGTTAGGCAGTTACCCACGAGTGCACACCCACCTGCACTTTAGTATACAGTATACCCATTCCAGTCTTCACCTTTGTGTTAGTTTATTTTGGTTTCAAATTTTTAGATGATTGAAAGGTAGATTTTTAAAACTAGTTCCATATTATAACAAATGGAATTTTAACATTTTTATTTTGGATGTAGCATGCATCTTTCAGTATATTCACATGTGAATGCATTGTGTGTTTTTGGTCAGGAAAATTTAACACTTGCAGCAACAGTTATTGCATCCATAATTAACTAAGGATGTCTGGCAGACTTTTGCCTCAAAGTTAAATGTTAAAATTCCATTTATAAGATTATTGATACTAGTTTTAAAATGCACACCTTTAGATTGCAAACAATTTAATAAAAAACGTAGCATGGAAATAAAGGTGAACACATTTTAGTGCAGATGCACTCCCAGGAAATGCTCCGTCAACCTTGGGGTTTAATTACCCAAATGAAGTTACAGAATGAGAGCTATGCTCATGGTGTCCCATCTACCCAGCATTGTCATACAACCGACATTACCGACCGTTTCGACTTACACCTTCTCGTCCAATTTGTTCCAACTGTCTACGACTTTGTTAAAGTGAATGCTATCTCTTCAGCAGCTTTGTTTAGTTACTTAAAGTTATGACCTTGTTATGTTCCTGGCCTAGTGCTTCCCTATCAATTTTATCAAGTCCTGTTACTATTTTGTATGCAGTGATCATATTTACTTTTAGTTGGGGCACATTTAATGCTTAACCTCTCCTTGCAGGTCTTCAGTTCTGTGAACCACCTAGTGGCATATCTGCACCTTTTCTAGTTTGTTGGTGTTTAAGATATGGGTACCATACAACTATATTCCAGCTTTGGTCTAACAGACTTAATTTCACGAGTACAGTATTTTGCCATCCATGTATTTAAAAGCAATTCTGAAGTTAAAAAGTGTAGCATAGGCTCCTTGCACAATGTTTTGTGGTTCTCAGGTGTCATGTGTGAGGCCAGGCAAAGTTTAGGAAGGGATGGAAAGGGGGGCCTCCAGCTCCTTCACTCATTAAAAGCATTGTATTTCCAGTAGCGACACCTGCCTGTATTTACGGTAAGTGAACACTGGGTTCTACATTTAGATTATTTCAAGTTGTAATGAGCAAATGTTTGTTAAAGTAAATAGCAACACTAGGCATTTTGCTACAAAATGCCTAAAAATGCCAAGCATTTTGCTACAAGATAATAGGATAGTCATTTATCTGCAAGATTAAACTTTTTAAAGCAAGCAGTTTAGCATCTTTATGCAAGGAATTATGAAAGACTTATGGATTGTTATAACCTCAAATTCATTTGCTATGATATTTACATTTGCAACCAACTTTAAAATTTTTAGAAACTAGACTAAAGTCTACTGCAGTCCAGTCACTTAACTTTTACATTTACAAAGCAAGGCAATTTAAGTAGAAATTGACGATTACTGAAGCAGTTAAATTTAAATACCATTACCATAATTTTGGAACTATTAGCTTCAATTTGGCAAATTTGAGCAACGTTACAAGAGCCAACAAAAGTATACTTACATTCTTTGCAGTAAGATAGTTTATAGTGAAAGAAATTTCACCTTCCACCATTACACAGGTTAGATTACCATCCTTCACTGTATACTTTGAATCTGGGACTGGTGTAGTTGGACTTTCCGTAGTTGTAGGAGGCTCTTCAGTTGTGGTAGGAGCAGCTTCAGATGACGTGGATGGGGGTTCAGTGGTTGGTATGGCTTCTGTAGTGGTTTCAGTAGTATCTGTTGTAACTGAAGTTTCAGGAGTTGTGGTTGTGGTCGTGGTCGTAGTCGTGGTGGCGGTGGTGGGGGTGGTGATGGTGGCTGCCGAGGTGGAGGAGGTAGTGTTCATATTTGAAGGGTCTGTAGTTGCTTCGGAGTTTTGACCCATAACCATCGACCCTGAAATTTCAAGCAATTGGTAAGCCACACGATCACTAGTTAATGACATTTTAAACTATGTTCAGTACAATCCACCACAATTAGTCATTAAAAAACAGCAATTTACCAGTCTGGGTATTCTGTATCATTGCTATGAAGACACTAAAGCAACTTTTATACAGCTTTAGATGTAACATTAAAGTTCTGCTCTATAGAATACAAATTATCCATGACCTAACCAATTGCAATTTAACTAAATGCAATTATGAAGTACACAAGCATGATAAAAACCTGAATTTTGGTACATCATCAGTTCCAAATTTAACACTCCCCATATCATGACAGGACTAGAAAAATTGGCGATTATCTCTTGACATTTGGATCCAACAATAAAATATTTTTATATAAAATAAAAATTTTATCCAATCTACTTTAGGATAGATTCAAAATGCACGCCATTATATTCCTGTTCTCCCAATAGGCCCACAGGCACCTCAGCATAGGCACTCATGGTTGACCTACTCTGACACCACGAGTGATCGCACCGCTCTCCCCGTGCATGCAAGACGGTTTTCGGCATTTATACCCGTGCATTTTCAAACTATTGCACACATTGCTGTGCATTTTATTGCGAATAATTTTATACCAAAATGAAAGATGTAACAAACTATTAGCAAATTGAAAATTTCAAGTGTTTTTTGGGTGTACCGGGTGTGGCTATGGGTGTACTCTAACAGGTTACGCTAGGGAGATTTTGAGCATTGCTGGTGGGGCGCGACCATAATTGGGAATGTATATGCCTATGTCCGTGTAGGGGATTTTATTGCGATCACGGCGATACCAAAATGAACGATGTAGGACAAGTGTGGAGTTGACAAACCTGAAAAAAACATTTCATCGCTGTTTGGAGCACACGGCTACCAATCTATGTAGCTTGTTTTATTTAGTGCCGGTCTCATGCTTTGCTGACATTTTACACATGTTCTAAAATTCTATTGCAAACGCATTGATACCAAATTGAAACGTGTAAATCAAAAATTAAGGTAAATGCTGAAAAGAGTACACTTCCGTGTCGCTGCACGATCACCCCGAAACGCCAAGCGCACAAGGGCAATATTTTACGCTTGACTGCCTGGAGCGCGAAAGTGTTAAGAAATGGCAAGCCAAGTTGTGCAATAAGCATGCATTGCAGAAAGTGCATTTTGGTAAAGAAAAAGCCATAATATGGAGTACACTATTGTGAGCTATATCAAACACTTGATAACTATGGGTGGTACAGTGGAGTAGTAAGCAACCAGGAGTTACTTTGTTGCAGGCATGAGTTGGTTTTTTTTTCCTCATTTATTACATTTTTGTACGGTGACATGCTGCATCCGTAAATAACTACGGATGTGCAGTATGGATGCAGTGGTGCATCCACAATAACAATATTAAAATTAAAGTTTATCCAATCTTTATGGGACTGGTTTTAAAATGTGCACCAACATCTTTCCATTTTCTGTGCTGGCCTAAATGAAATTAACTGCAAGTATTTTGCACTCACATTAATTGCAAGTTTAATAGGCGTGTATGTTGCATGTACGAGTGTTTAGTAGTGCATTAGGTGGTAGTGGGCGAGCGCAGCCGAAACCTGCGGTCAGCAGTACTCCAAGCCGCCCTTTTTCTGGCTTGTAAGAGTACCCACTCTTGTCAGGCCAGTGGAGTGGTTTAGAAGTTAAGCAAGAGCCTTGCAGAGACCAGTAAGATTCTCCGGCAATCACCAACCTGGCGAGTGTCCAGCTGGTCATCCACCCACTGATGGAATATTCATTCCAGAGTCAAGAGGTAAGATTACAGTAATGTATAGTCTATTTGAAGTCTTAATGGTTGAGTGGAGTCAACCAGTTTATTCTTATTAATTCATGGATAAGTAAGGTTTGCAAAGTGTTCAGTAGTGCTGAACTAGTATTAAATTTCTGCAAATGGAAATACTTTTGGGGCATTAAAATCAAAGTGTAGAATAACAATTAGTTTTGTTAATTTCTTTTAAATGAGAATCTCAAGACAAGGTTATCAGTGTTACGGATCTCTAGGAGTAGATAGAAAACCGTGTTACATTTAGTAAAAGTAATGACTGGTGCTTCCCATCTCACTGTTCAGTAGTTTTGAAAAAGTTTAAGAACTGACAGGATGGTGGCAGTAAAGTCAAACATCTATAGACACTACTATACTCTTCTACTTCTCAGGCCACCACCTCCAATTTTCTGTTGGCTCCTGGACAAGTTCCCATCAGCATCCATACCCGCTTGATGGGGTTCTGGAATTCTACTCCAAGCCCGGCCCGAGGCCAGGCTCTACTTCGAGTTTGGTCCACCAGGCTGTTGCTTGGAGCGGCCCGCAGGACCACATACCCACCACAGCCCGGCTCATCCGGAACTTGGAAAACAATCCAGTTCTCTCTTTAAGATGTCCACAGTTGTTCCGGCAATATTTCTTAGTCACTGGGAGAAAGTTTAACAACCACGAACCTCTGATGTTTATACAGAGTTCTGTGCCTATGGCACCTCTGCTCTTCACTGGTTCAATCTTGCATTTTCTTCCATATTGTTCACTCCAGTACGATGTTATTTTACCGTGTAGATTTGGGACCTGGCCCTCCAGTATTTTCCATGTGTATGTTATTTGGTATCTCTCGTCTCCTTTCAAGAGTACATTTGGAGAGCTTTGAGACGATCCCAATAATTTAGGCGTTTTATCTTTATGCGTGCCGTACATGTTCTGTGTTTCCCTCTATTTCGGCAATCTCTCTTGCTCTGAAGGGGGAAGCGAGTACTGAGCAGTACTAGAGACGGGATAACACAAGTGACTTTAGTACAACCATTGTGATGGGATCCCTGGATTTGAAAGTTCTCGTAATCCTTCCGATCATTTTTCTGGCTGATGCGATATTTGCTTGGTTATGCTCCCTAAATGTTAGATCCCACTGCCGACAGCATCCATGTTTTCTGAACCTTTTCCACTCTTCCCCATTTTACTTCTCACATCAAAGTTTGCTGACCTTACCTCCTGGCAAGGTCAGCAAAGTGACCTCCAGATCATCTAGGCGACTATTCCTTTGCAAACAATCTTAATGGTACATCTTTCAAGTTTTTATTGCACACGATGGGGGTGCAGACTTTAAACGCCGATGAACTCGTTAGGTGTGCAAGACACTTTCCTGGGTAGGTTGAATCAGTTGGGAACAGGACCGCACGAAACTACCACGAGAGTGCAAGACCCGGGCTTGTCATAACATCCGGGAGCACGGAGACGTCGTTATCCCCCAAAGCACAAAACTGGCGCATCAAATGTTTAGACACCCCACGTAACATACAACTTACTGGCCAGCCCACCGTAACCCAGAGACTAATGAACACAAAATCCCGTAAAACCCTGACCAAGCAAGATAATGCTGTGAAATCTTGAAAATTATATGCAAGAAATTAATATGATCATGCAAGTTACAAGAACCCCACCCCTGCTGCATAAAAAAGTATGATAAGAGGTACCCAGCAGAGCGCTCTAGAAAAACTAGGTTTTGATAGCTCTAGTATAAACAGATTGTCACACGATTAACTATTGTAAACGAGATGGTCAGGTGCAAAAATTAAGCGATAAAGTTCTATATACTGTACTTAAGAATATATGCAAAATAAAAGATTTTATACTTTACCATGAATTTGCCTTTCCCTTTAATACTACTGTAATCTCTTGACTGCTTAAATTTACGATGTTCCTCGTTAGTCCACGACTGCCAAGCAGCCCCTGACCTGAAGGTCACTAACACCACTGAACCGCATTAATTAAGACATTTCACGACTAGAATGACAGGTCAGCCTCACTGCAAAAACCTGACCCCCCCCCCCATGACTGACTAATACTCCAAGTTGTTTTCCAACGTCTACTACCTTATCGATGTGATCTAGAACCTTTGGTAAACTCCCTGTACCTCCGAATCTGTCAGTGAAGCATCCCTCATTGAGGATTTCCAGACAACCTGCTAAACAGATCAGTGAACAACCAATAATGCAGCTGTACACCCCTAAAAGCTATGAAGAGGAATGAGAACCAACCAAGGGAGCTGGTCGGCCGAGCGGACAGCACACTGGACTTGTGATCCTGTGGTCCCGGGTTCGATCCCGGGCGCCAGCGAGAAACGATGGGCAGAGTTTCTTTCACCCTATGCCCCTGTTACCTAGCAGTAAATAGGTACCTGGGAGTTAGTCAGCTGTCACGGGCTGCTTCCTGGGGGTGGAGGCCTGGTCAAGGACCGGGCCGCGGGGACACTAAAAAAAAGCCCCAAAATCAACAAGATAACCGTCTATAGATTTCAGAGCACATACTGTACGCCTAACAGTTTTGCCAAGACTAACAGGACTAATTGTAAACATGAAACATGTTGACTAGGCTGTAACGAAATTTCAAATGTGATCTGGAGGTCACTTTGCTGACCTTACCAGGTTCCCATTGTAAGTCCTGTGTGTACTTTCACTGGGAATTACATTGAGAAGATTTAAACTGGCATTACAGAGACAGCACAAGAATTGAGGTGATGAGCAAGAACACATTGGTCTGTGCGTTCACGGGTAACACTTTGCCGATTTCTGGGTTTGGCACCGGGATTTTGGATTATATGCATATATTATTGCGGACATTTTGATACTGTACCAGAATGACAATGAAAATCGAGGTGAGAAACTTTAAAGAGTAAGCACATTTGTAAGTGGGTGTGCCAATGGGTAACAGTGCAAGGTGCAATGCACATGGGTAACACTTTGCAGGCTTTTGGCTTTATTGTGGGTCAGGCACCAGGCTTTAGGGCCTTGTATGCAGACATCCCTGTAGGGAAGTCTATTATGAACAAATCTACAATGAAAGATGTAGCACGAGAACTTAAGCGTTAGAACTGAAAAGAGTACGCATTTCAGTGTTGCCGTGTGCTCACGGGAAGCGCTTTGGCCACCTTTGGGTAGTATGGTGACATGCACGCCCGGAACAATTGT